CCTAATTACACTAAGTTAAGGAAACTCTAAATATAGGTAACATGTAACTTAATCATACATTTTTATCTGATTATCCATTTCAAAGTCATAAATAAAATGATATCCCATGTGGGTTACAACGAATGGGCTCATGAAATCTGAAGCATTACCTCCTCTCTGAAACAAATACAACAAAATAAAACAAGGAAATACTACACTATCACACAAGTCTAAACAATTAATCATAATCAAGAAGAAAACAATGTGTTCCTTTGCAGAAACATCTAGGAACACCTAAAGACAGAAAGAGAAAAAAACTGCAACAAAACCAGAACCATTGTTTTAGTGCTATTTTACTATCTTCATTCTCCTAACTTTTTCTAAATGTTCCTTGAACCACTGTTCCTAATGTTATTTTCAACCTGGGCAATGTCATTCCCACCTTTAGATACCACCTATAGATAAGGAATTCCAAATCTCTCCCTCTACCACAGTCTGCCCCGACTACCAGGCCAAGACACTTACCTGAGAACAGAGGGAACTCACTCCTCACCTGCTCCTCCTATAGACCCTGTTCTAGTTGATGTTCAAAAACCTGGAAATCATACCTTCCACCTACTGATTCTAAGTCACCAACTCGTCTGTTCTGTCTCATAAAGGACTTCCCATAAACCTATCCCAGCCTTCCTCCGTTCTCAATGCTGCTGCCTTCGTGCGAGCACAAGCACATTTGGAATTACTGCAGCAATGTCCGAATGGCCGGCTAGCCCTTCCCCTCTCTCTTTCTTCAGCCTTTTCTTTGTATTGCTGCTACAGAAATATTTTGAAATATCGTTTAGGTCATTTGCACCATAGCTAAAAATTGTTCAATGATTCAAAATAGAGTTAAAATCCTTAATACAACATCCTTTCTTGCCTATCTCTTTAGCTTTATCCCTTCCCAATTTTCCACATAAGACACAAAACTCCAAATACATCACTGTAGTTCTTGACAAACATCATACTGCTTTTTTTACACAATAGTTCTGCAAATGTTATTCTCACTCTCCAAAAAGTTGTTTTCTAGACAGGTTAACGTTGATTTGTTATTCAAGACTCAACTCGGCATTCTATGTGGCTTTCAACTCCCCCCATTCCCTGCATGCTTCCAGAGCACTTAATAGATATCTCTTTGCACTGTATGATAATTGTCTATTTGACTCTCCTAAACTTTGGGCACTGTGGATGTAAAATACATCTATTATTCATTTCTGTGTACCACAATGCCACAGATTAATAGATCAGTACCTATTTGTAGAATATTTTAGCCTTTTTCTTTCTCAAAAACAGAATTTCACTTATAAACAATTTCACATACAAAAAGAAGCAGGCAAGGAGACAATTGATATAAGAAAACAAGATCAGGAAAGAGTAAATCTCTTCTATGTGAAGACGCCCTATGATTCTCTTCAAAGTAGCTCCAACTGTGTGAGAACACAGTTGTGGGTTTTTCATCCCTTTGTCTTACATTTTCTCACCAACACCATTCACTTCTAATCATCATTCTTTGATTCATAAATGGAAATAAATGGTAAGACATTCTCTCCACAATAGAGTGGGTACCGAAAGAAGAATGAAAACCAAAATCACACTCAAAGCATGAGCCATGTCAACTCAGAAAGACACTGCAGGGAAGGGCAGGGCAGGACTGAACTTCTCTGTGGGTTTCCGAGGTTCTAAATCTTTTTTTTTTT